AGTAATCTCAATTTCACAAATCAGGAAATTGAGGCACCGAGTAGTTAAATAAATAACTTGCCCAAGGCCACACATATTGTGTCAAAGACAGGATTCGGATCCAGATGTTTGATTCTGGAATCCACACCTGCACTTTTTTTAAAGATTTATTTATTTATTTTAGACAGAGTGAAAGAGCGAGAGAAAGAGCACAAGCAGGAAGGGCAGAAGCAGAGGAAGAGAGACTCCCAAGTCGACTCCGTACTGAGTGCGGAGCCAGACGTGGGGCTGGATCTCACAACCCTGAAATCACAACCCAAGCTGAAACCAAGAGCTGGACCCTCAACCTACTGTGCCACCCAGGCACCCCCCACACCTGCATTTTTAATCATGACACACACTATCTTTCATATGACATATGTATATACATATTCATATGACATATACATGCCTATCCTGCATTTCAGTTTCCACATATGCACATGTTTTTTATTTTATCTATTTCTTTATTTGAAACCACCTACACTTATACAGATTTTGTTTATCAAGAACTGAGTCCTATTTTGATCTGAATTATTTATACATAATTTCCCTTTTTGAGCACGAGTCTCAGTTACATCTCTAAACTTTATTTTAGCAAACATAAAGACACCTGGCACTGGTCTCTTCCACATATTTAGTCTTGAAATGCTGTTGTTCTTCCTCTACAAATCATGTGTTTACCTCTATGTAATCTCTGCTGTGAAGAATAGATTCACATGTAGAGATCATTAGAAACACATGGTCAGAGGACAAAGAAAAAAATCAGTGTAATTCATGATATGAAACAAATTTTATTTTACTTATTTTTTTTAAGTTTTATTTATTTATTTGAGAGACAGAAAGAGAGCATGCGTGGCTGGGGGAGGGGGGTAGGGGCAGAAGGAGAGGGAGAAACTCAAGCAGACTCTGCACTGACAGCACAGCCCAAAGTGGGCCCCAAACCCATAACCCCAAGATCACTACCCAAGCCGAAACCAAGAGTTGGAGGCTCAACCAACTGCACCACCCAGGCACCCCGGTATGAAACAAACAAACAAAAAAAACCTAATCATCTCAATATGTAGAAAAAGCATTTGATTAAATCCAACACCCATTAACAGAAACTCTTAGCCAACTAGGAATAGGAGGGACTTCTCCACCTGTTAAAGAGCATCTACAAAAACCCTCCAGTTAAGGTCATACTTAATGGTGAAAGACTGAATACTTTCCCCCTAAGATCAGCAATAAGACAAGGATGTCTGTTTTCATCACTACTATTTAACATTGTACTGGAGATTCTAGCCAGTGCAATAAGGCAAAAAAAGAAATAAAAGCTGTATGGATAGTAAAAAAGAAGTAAAAGTATTTACAGATAACATCTTCATCTATGTAGAAAATGTAAGGAATCTATTAAGAAATTACTAGAACTAACCAATGAGTTTAGCAAGTTTGTAGATATAAGATGAATATATAAAAAGTAATTGTATTTCTTTTTTTAAAAGATTTATTTATTTTACAGAGAGAGAAAGAAAAGAGTGTGTGTGTGAGTCGGGAGAGGGGCAGAGGGAGAGGAAAACAGAGGGAGACTCCTGGCTGAGTGCAGAGCTCTAAACAGGGCCGGATCCCAAGGCCCTGAGATCATGACCTGAAATCGAGTCAGACGCTCAACACACTGAGCCACCCAGGCACCCCTAAAAAGTAACTGTATTTCCATATACTAGCAGTGAACAATCAAGGATTGAGATAAAAAATATTTATAATAACATCATACATATGAAATACTTAAAGATAAATTCGGGCATACCTCAGGATATTGTAGGTTGGGTTCCAAACCATCACAATAAAGCGAATATCACAATAAAGCAAGTCAAATGCTGTTATTTGGTATCCCAGTGCATATAAAAGTTAGGTTTACACTACACTGTAGTCTATTAAGGATTTTATTTATTTATTTATTTATTTGACAGAGAGAGACACAGCGAGAGAGGGAACACAAGCAGGGGGAGTGGGAGAGGGAGAAGCAGGCTTCCCACCAAGCGGGGAGCCCAATGCGGGGCTTGATCCCAGGACCCTGAGATCATGACCCAAGCCAAAGGCAGATGCCTAATGACTGAGCCACCCAGGCGCCCTTACACTGTAGTTTATTAAATGTGCAATAACATTATGTCTAAAAAAGCAATGTACATAACTTAAAAATACTGTATTGCGGGGCGCCTGGGTGGCTCAGTCATTAAGCGTCTGCCTTCAGCTCAGGTCATGATACCAGGTCCTGGGATAGAGCCCCGCATCGGGCTCCCCACTGGGTGGGAAGCCTGCTTCTCCCTCTCCCACTCCCCCTGCTTGTATTCCCTCTCTCGCTGTGTCTCTCTCTGTCAAATAAATAAATAATCTTTAAAAAAAAAATACTGTATTGCTAAACAATGCTAACCATCTTCTGAGCACTCAGCAAGTCATAATCACTGATTACAGATCACCATGACAAATATAGTAATAATGAAAAAGTTTGAAATATTGAAGAAATACCAAAATGTGACACAGAGACATGAAGCGAGCAAATACTGTTGGAAAAATGGCACCAATAGACTTGCTCCATGTAGGGTTGCCGCAAATCTTCAATTTGTAAAAACACAGCTCTGCAAAGCACAATAAAGAGAATCACACAAAAACAAGGTATGTCTGTATGGCAAAAGATGTACAAGACCTATATCACAAAACATTGTTGAGAGACATTACATATGATTTAAATACATGGGAAGATATAACTTGTTCATAAGAAGACTTGTAGATGAAATACAACTTTCATGAGCAGACTCCATTTGCTGAGATGTCAATTCAAAATCCCAGCAATTTCTTTGTAGATATTGACAAGCTGATTCTAAAGTTCCCATGGAAAGTCAAAATATCTAGAATAGCCAAAACAATTTTGAAAAAGAAATTCAAAGTTGAAAATAATTTCAAGCCACAGGAAGAAAGACAGTATGGGATTAGCATCAAGAAAGATTAACTTAACATACAGAATACAGAGTCCAGCAATATATATGGCAAACATATATGGATAACCAGTTTTTGACCCAGGTGAAAAGACAATTGAACGGAGAAAAGAGAGCCTTTCAACAAAGGGTGCTGGAATAATTGGAAATTAGTTTCATGGATACTAATTGCCCACAAAAAAAAAGTAGAAGTGGGCTCTCTGAACTTAGCGCCAAGCCCAAAGCCAAGTTTATTTATCTCTGATATATCTTTCCTGATAACGGTCCCTCCCGTTCCACCTTTACTATGTGAGTGGTGACAGAGGTGTATTGTTGGGAAAATATCATGTAATGAATGATGTGCCGGGTGTAAGCAATTTTAGTAACCTATTATGCTAGTAACCCTTAGGGTTTTAAGACTTCAATTCAGGGGCGCCTGGGTGGCTCAGTTGGTTAAGCGACTGCCTTCAGCTCAGGTCATGATCCCGGAGTCCTGGGATCGAGTCCCACATCGGGCTCCCGGCTCAGCAGGGAGCCTGCTTCTCCCTCTGACCCTATCCCCTCTCATGCTGTTTCTCTCTCTCTCTCTCTCAAATAAATAAATAAATAAAATCTTTAAAAGAAAAAAAGACTTCAATTCAGGATGGACTAATGGTATATTGGTAAATGTTTAAAAAAAAGGAGAGAGAAGGCCCTCATTTGCAGTATCTGAGTGAATACTCCCATGCAGTGGATTTCAAGCCGCCAGGTGATGTGACTTAAAGAGGATGTTGGGAAGATATGAGCCTACTATTCCCACCGCACAAATACGATAAGCGTAAATAACCCCAAGAGCACACAGTACTAAAACGTAGTAATTAGGAAGTTACAGATTTTAGTATCCAACACCTTTGTTTTTAATACAATTTATTCAATTGTAAGTTGACATAATTTTTTAAAAATATTTTATTTACATTAGAGTGAGTGCACAAGCATGAGGGAGGGGCAGAGGGAGAAGCAGACTCAGAGCTGGGCAGGGAGTCCAATGTGGGGCTCCATCCCAGGACCCTGAGATCTTGACCTGAGCTCAAGGCAGCCGCTTAAGTGACTGAGCCACTCAGGCCCCATGACATAATTTAAATTTTAATAATAGCAGTACTTAAGGACTGGCTAGCCAAATTCTTAATTATTTTTATTTGAGAGACAGAGAAAGAGCACAAGCGGGGCGGGGGAGAAGCAGAGGGAGAGGGAGAAGCAGGTCCCCACTGAGCAGCGAGCCCCATGCGGGGCTCCATCCAAGGACCCTGGGACCAGGACCCCAGCAGAAAGCAGACACCCAACCGACTGAGCTACCCAGAACCCACAAATTCTGAATTTTTAAGTCTTCTCCCATGAGCTTGTAGGGGCCAGCTCCAGCACACCACTGGCCTGGAACAGTTTCTTTTTCTTTCTTTTTTTTAAGATTTTATTTATTGGAGAGAGAGAGAGAGAGGGCGCGCGAGCGCGGGAGGGCACCGGAGAGCGCAAGCAGGGGGGAGGGGCCGAGGGAGAAGTAGGCTCCGCTGAGCAGGGAGCCCCAGGGGCAGGGCTGGATGCCAGGACCCCTCATGACCTGAGCTAAAGGCAGACGTTTAAAGGACTGAGCCGCCCAGGCGCCCCTGGGGGCAGTTTCCTGAGGGAAGTACAAGGTAACTTCTGGTTAACTTCTACTTCGTGACTCCCACTGAAAGGGAAGATCCTGTTGTGCACTTTTTAGTATTCTCAACAAACAGATGAAGAAAGAGAGGCCAAGTAAAGAGAGTCTCTACAAAGTGTTAGGTTGTGGAGGGGAGTTTGAGCTCAGGCCCGTCTCCAAAGCTAGAGATGAACACATCCTTCAAGTGCTCCTACGAGTTCTCTTTTTGAAAAACAGCATGATTTAGAGGACTTATAGCTCGGCCCGGGGCTTTAAGAGGGCGGGAGAGGAGGGGCAGCGGAAGAGGCAGAAAAGGAGCATTTTAAGCGTATAAATGCACTTAGGAGGCGGAAGGCTCTGTACAAATCAATACCAACCCGATCCCAGGGAAATGTCCGTGGCCTACAAGAAACAACGAGCGTGCGCGCTCCCACCTGCCCGAGGGCCTTTTGTCTTCTCCGGAAGGGACTTCATGGTTACACGCCCAGAATTCGGCTGCGCCGGCCGGGAGGACCGGGGGCGGGGGGCGCGGCAACCGCGGGCGAGCCGGGGCTCGTCCTCCCGACCTCCCCGCTTCCCGGGCCTCGCTCCCCTTCCCCTACAGCCGGCAGTGGCGGGGGGTGAGGTTACAGTAGTTGGGGCGGAGGATCTGGCGCGGGCACAAACTCTGTCGAGACCTAAGGCCTCCGCCCCGCCCGCCTCACGCCGCGCCCCCTGGGTCACGTGGCCCGTCGGTGACTGGGAAGAGCCGGCGAACCGGCGGACCCCGCAGCTGTGTCTGCCGGAGCCCTGCGCGCCCTCGGAGCCATGCTGCGGAGCTGCGCCTCACGACTGCGCACGCCCGGGGCCCTGCGCGGCAGGTTGGGAGGTGCGCCCCCGCCGGCGAGGGACTCGCGGCCGCCCCCTGTGAGTCCGGGAGCCGGGCGTCGGGAGCGGGCGGCTGGGCCAGGCTCTGTCTGGGGGGAGCCGGTGAGGATGGCCGCGCTGAACTGTAGATCCTCAACCCGCCGCAGAGTAAAAGCTAACGTCAGCGCCGAACGTCGGTGTTAGCGGGGTCGCTTTCAGTCCTGAGGTCCAAAGGCGGAGAGGGACAGGAAGGGGACACGGGCCTGAAGCAGCGTGCGGGATGCTGGTCTCTGGTCAGCAAGTCGGGGAATATCGCTGCGACTGAGACCAGTTGGGTCGTGGTTTGGGCAAGGTCACACACAGGCACGTGGTGGAGTTGGGGTCTGACCTAGGCAGTAACCGCTCCTGACCTTTACGGTAGTATGCTCGCGAGAAGAGCGGTGTCTCTTCCTAGGGTTTCACCCAGATCATCTCTGCCCAACGGATAACTGTACCACTTTCAACTTCAAAGGCTGTTGTAAGAGTAAAATGAGGTAACGTTGAACGCGCTGCCTGGCGTTAATACTAAATAAATAATGCTTGTTCTTATATCCCTATGTTTTGCTTCACTGAAGTATTCAATTATTATTAATTAAACCCCAACAATATGTAAGACATTGGTCTCTGATGATATAAAGATGAGTAAGAAAACCCTTTCTCTCAAGGAGCTCACAATCTAGTTGGGAAGAAAAGGATGAAATTGCAAAATTAAAACACTGTATGTTGTCATAAAGTTCTAAGGGAACCTAGAGGGAGGGAACAGGTCCCTACTGAGCAAGAACTGCAAGCTCTTAGACCTTTCTTTTTTTTTTTTTTTTTAAAGATTTTATTTATCCATTTGACAGAGAGCTAGCGAGAGCAGGAACACAAGCAGGGCGAGTGGGAGAGGGAGAAGCAGACTTCCCGCTGAGCAGACCTTTCTTTTAAAGAATAATGTGTGCAGACTGGTTATTAATCCTATACCACCTTTCACCTTGGAAAAGAAAACGTCCTGTGCTCCTCTCGCAACAACAAAGATAATTTGTTTCTTTAATTATATGTTGATGCCTTGTAATCTGTGTTGAGAATATTTAACAGTAGTACTTACAGGCTTTGTAAGTCGTTTTTTTTTGGTTCAGTAACTTAATCTTGAAATATATTAAAAAGGAGGCATAACTTTAGTTAACAAGTCCCACTTGAAAAATATATAACCAAAGATCAAGCCCTCTATAGAGGGCTAGAAAAGGTAATGATATCCCTAACATTTATCCCTCGGTACACAGTCTGTGCTGGGAATTTTTTTTTTTTTTAAGATTTTATTTATTCATTTGAGACACAGATACAGAGAGAGAGAGCATGAGCAGAGGGAGAAGGGAGAAGCAGGCTCCCCGCAGAGCCATGAGTCAGGCGGGGGCGGTGCGGTGGGGGGGGAGCGGTGCTCTCCATCCAGGGAGCCGAAGGCAGACGCGTAACCATCTGAGCCACCCTGGCGCCCCTGTGCTGGGAATTTCCAAGTGCCCTTACATCAAGTATCTCTTAGTTCCTACCCTCTTGAACTGAAACTTTCATTATTTTTTTTCTCACAACATCAGTGTTCATCTGAGGTCCTAGGATCTACATGCCTCTTAACTAAAATTAGAGATCCAGGGGCACCTGGGTGACTCAGTCGTTAAGCATCTGCCTTTGGCTCAGGTCGTGTTCCCAGGGTCCTGGGATCGAGCCCCACATCGGGCTCCCTGCTCAGTGGGAAGCCTGCTTCTCCCTCTCCCACTCCCCCTGCTTGTATTCCCTCTCTCACTGTCTCTCTCTCTGTCAAATAAATAAAATCTCAAAAAAGAAAAAAAAAACTTAAAAAAATAAAATAAAATTATAGATCCACTCCTCCTCTTCCCCCTCCTAACACAAACAGTAACAAGAACCTCCTTTCTTCTTTCCACCCCAGTCTGCAAAGCTACAATTCTGGAATCATCCAAGGCTCTCCTATTTCTGTTTCCCTATGATCAGTCTCTCTCCACATCCCTTGATCCCAGTATCCCAAAAGTCTCTTAAATCTTTTTTTTTCTTCATTTCTTTCTGCCTAGTTCAGCTTCTTTTTTTGTTGTTAAAGATTTTATTTACTTATTTGACGGAGAAAGAGAGCACAAGCCCAGGAAGCAGCAGGCAGAGGGAGAGGGAGAAGCAGGCTCCCCACTGAACAGAGAGAGTCCCATGCAGGGCTCAATCCCAGAACCCTGGGATCATGACCTGAGCCGAAGGCAGTTGTTTAACTGACTGAGCCACCCAGGTGCCCCGTACCTAGTTCAGCTTCTAACCATATCTCATCTGGATCTTTGCAACAGTTTTAACTGCTTTCCCTGCGATTCCCCTCACCTTTCAATTCATCCTTTACACCAGAGCAAGGTTTCTAACACCTAAGTTCATGTTACTTCTTTGCTTAAAATTCCATAAGGCTCGCCATAGTGGAAAAAAGTATTTTATCATTCATATACCACCTTCATGGTTTTTTAAAGACTGCCTTTCTTTAATGAGTTTCATCCTAAGGAATAACATTTGTGAGATCACCAAGTGTGATGTGTTATTTATGTCCTTTGGTATTATGTATTTAAAAATACATATGCTGTAGGGGCGCCTGGGTGGCTCAGTTGGTTAAGCAACTGCCTTCGGCTCAGGTCATGATCCTGGAGTCCCAGGATCGAGTCCCGCATCAGGCTCCCTGCTCAGCAGGGAGTCTGCTTCTCCCTCTGACCCTCCCCCCTCTCATGCTCTCTCTATCTCATTCTCTCTCTCAAATAAAAAAAAAAAAAAAATACATATGCTGTAGTCCTTGTGCTACCTAAAATCATCTTTCATTTTGGTGTTTGGAAACTTTGACCTAGCAGATGAAATCTAAGCCCTGTGTTAAGGCCAAAGAGGCTCGATGGTGTGTTCCCCTTCTTTGCCATCCACATCTGGCTGCTACTCTCATTGCACCTTACGTCCATGAAGACTGAAATCCTGCAGTTCTTCCCCATCATGTCAAACAGTTGTGTCACCTCTCTGTGCCTTTGCTTGGTGTAGCCCTCCCATTCTCTCCTTAGTGAACTTTTTATCCTTTAGAAATCACTCCATCAGTCCTCATCTTTTTGAAGTTTTCCCTGAATGTCACTCCTGTGTCTTTTTGTACTTCTGTTACGGTATTTTTCACACCTGAGGCTGCCAGCACTTGAGGGCAGGGCCCAAGTCGTCTCTGTCTTAACCAGTTCCTGGCACAGAACCAGGCATATAGCAGATTTTAAAAAGTTCACTGCGTTTAAGTGAATCCCACACTTCAAAGTTAAAATCAGGTAGGAGAGCCCACAGCCAAGGGAGTCATTCTAGTTCCTAAAAGTCTTCAGTTATCTCTGGGGTGCCTGGGTGGCTCAGTCATTAGGCCTCTGCCTTCGGCTCAGGTCATGATCCCAAGTTCCTGGGATCGAGCCCCACATTGGGCTCCCTGCTCAGCGGGAAGTCTGCTTCTCCCTCTCCCATCCCCCTGTTTGTGTTCCCTCTCTCGCTGTGTCTCTCTCTGTCAAATAAATAAATAAAATCTTTAAACAAAAGTCTTCAATTATCTCTATCACCCTGGTCCATAAAAAGATGCTGGAACTGATCCATCCTAGTGTTGCCTATTTAAATAAGACCTATGGATGAGCCAAATCCTACACATTCTGTTCTACCTCTCAACTGGCATGTATTGCTCAGTGCATATTTATCTGTGACTACTTGTGTTTATTTCCAGAATTCATGTACTTTAAAAGCCACATGATTGAGACTGGATTCTAAGGAAGTAATCCAAAACAGAGAAAAGGCTATATTCATAATTTTCCAATGAACATTTTTATTTAGAGCAGCAAAAGATTAGAAACACTTTAAATGCCTAACTTAGGGGCGCCTGGGTGGCTCAGTCGTTAAGCGTCTACCTTCAGCTCAGGTCATGATCCCAGGGTCCTGGGATTGAGCCCCATATCAGGCTCCCCACTCCGTGGGAAGCCTGCTTCTCCCTCTCCCACTCCCCCTGCTTGTGTTCCCTCTCTCACTGTGTCTCTCTCTGTCAAATAAATAAATAAAATCTTTTTAAAAAAATGTTTAAAAAAAAAAATAAATGTCTAACTTAACTGGTTAGGTAAATTATAGTAAATGAGTCTAAAGGACTATTTTTCTGCTGTTGAAAATGGTGATAATTGAGATTAAGGACATGAAAAAGTGGGCACTAAATAATTTTAAGTGGTGAGGCAGGAAGAAAAAATACATTTCTTACTGAAATTACAAGTGTATTAAGAAAGATTACATTTAGGGGCACCTGGGTGACTCAGTTGATTAAGCAACCAACTCTTGATTTCAGGTCAAGATCTCAGGGTCATGCTCTGTGTCAGGCTCCATGCTCAGCTCAGCGGACGGTCTGCTTGAGAGTCTCTCTCCCTCTTCCTTCCCATCTGCTCCTCCCCTGCCAGCAACCTGCTCTCTCTCCTAAATAAATGAGAGAAAAATCACATTTAAGATAAGTTGGTAGAAAGACATCAACATTTATCATTGTTTGCTTTTATTTTTGAGAGAGAGCGCGTTCTGATGAGCATGAGTGGGGGCAAGGGCAGAGGGAGCCTGCTTCAGCTGGATGGGATCATGACCTGAGCCAAAGACAGACACTTAGCCAACTCAGCCACCCAGGCACCCATAAATTGTTTTTTCCTTTCTTTCCCAAATTTTCTGAACTGGGTTCTAAAGAGAGAGCGAATCCAAAACCATAGGAAAAAAACAAAGGTACAAATCCTGGGTTAGGGAGTGGAGTAGTCTCGACCCTGCTCACATTTCCCCTCATGAAGTTGATACTTCGTCTGTTCAGTCAAGGAGTTGTTAATTCTGTGGAGTTTTTGAGACAGGCTGCCTGTATTCTCAACCATCAGGCCAGAATCAGAGCCGGCCAGATCAGAGCCCGCCGAGGTGTCAGCATGTCAGTGGAAGGCTGGTTGGCTGGTTCTTCCATCACATCACAGCCTTGCTGTTTTTGTATCGGGGTGTGGTCCATGATGAGGGAGCAGAAGGATGGCTGAAGACGGAGCATAAACTGACACCCTGCAACCTCTCCCCCCCCCCCCACTCCTGGTGGGACATGGACATGTGTGACATTCTTCCAGGAATCTCCCAACTATCTTAATGTTAACGCCTTGGTAGAAGGGAAAAACAACCTTGACAATGGCAAGGCCTCCGGTATCTTGTAGGTCCTCTTTGGTATCTTGTAGGTCCTCTTTAGCACGTGAAAGTTCTTTTGAAACCTCCCTTTTTTCTTACCTCCCCCAACCCAGTAGTGTTTAATCAGCCACCCCTCACAACCGCAGTGCAGCAGCTCTTTCTGCTTACGGCTCCTGTCCCCGTGCTTTAATATAAAATCACCTTTTTGCACCATAGACGTCTCAAGAATTCTTTCTTAGCCATCGGCTTCGAACCCTAGTAACGTCTTTCCTACATCAGTCCAAGTGTTGTAGATACATTGAATCTGAATTAAAAGGGTGACTGGAAGTGGAATGCCATAGAGTTGATAGCTTCTGTGATCTTAAATATTCCAAGATTTCTGCTGAAGCCAAAAAAAAAAAAGATCCCTCCCCCCCAAAAAATTTTTTCCTTTCCAGTGCCTATGGCCATTTGCTTTGTCCTCCTTCTAAGTCACCCTTTGTCCCCCTCCAGGGTCTCTGCACCATTCCACTTGCTGCCTGGGCATGAGTGGTAGCATTGCTCAGTGCTGCAGAGAAATAGCATAGTAACCATGGCTTCCATGGTTCCATGGCTTCCAGGAAGCCATGGTTACTATGACACCAAGCACCTGCCCCCCCCCCCCAACTTCCTCCTCCTCTTTATATTCTCTTTCTTGGTAATTGGCTCTGTCACTCACCATGTTGCATAATTCAGAAACCTGGGGTTGGTGTTTGTATTTTTACTCTTCCCTTACTCTTTATCTGCTTCATACAGTCATAATTTTCACTTGGGTTACCTCTAAAAGCCTCGACACAGGGTCCTCACATCCAGTGTTGTCCCTCCCACTATCTTTCTTATGATGGTCAGATCAGATCTTGTCATTTCCCTATTGAAATCCCTCTGGGAACAATTGCAGATACAGACCGGTTCAGGCCAACTAGCTTAGTATGGAAGTTCTCCCAGCCAAGCCCTTGTCTGCATCTCTGTAGCCATCTGCTCTTCCCCTTGCACTGAAACAAAGCCAAGCTTCTTTTAGGCCTTAGTTTCATCATCTGTAAAATGGGGATAATAATTAGTACCTACTTCATAAGTATTTCGTAAATGTGGTTATTATGAGGCCCCACAAAGCTGTCATGCCTCCTTGCTTTTGCATATGCCTACAATACCCTTTCTAGCTGGCTAATTTCTGCTTGTTCAATTGATGTGGGAAACAAAGAAGAAAAATTAGTAAATTTCCTTACTGCCTACAGCCCATTGACAAGTCCTTGAAACAGGCAAAGTGACATATTCCTCTAGGAACTCAGCTGCCTCCATGTTAATACTTTGCTGAGGGCAAAAGGCAATCTTAGCCTGCCCCCCTGGATCCTGTAAGTCTACTTTAACATCTAAAAATTCCGTTGGGGGGCGCCTGGGTGGCTCAGTCGTTAAGCGTCTGCCTTCGGCTCAGGTCATGATCCCAGGGTCCTGGGATCGAGCCCCACATCGGGCTCCCTGCTCGGCAGGAAGCCTGCTTCTCCCTCTCCCACTCCCCCTGCTTGTGTTCCTGCTCTCGCTGTCTCTCTCTCTGTCAAATAAATAAAATCTTTAAAAAATAAATAAATAAATAAATAAATAAATAAATAAATAAATAAATAAAAATTAAAAAAATAAAAATTCCGTTGGAAACTTCCTTTATCTCTACCCCCACCAGATACATGTTGGCAATCATCCCCCAAGCATATGACCCACGGATATACATCTGAAGGGTCTCGTGACTCAGGTTTTATTAGACAGTAATAAATGACCTTTTCCCAGCAATAGCTAGCCCCCTCAAGATCCTGGAAACCTTGATTCCAAAATTCCTTAGAGACTTACCTATTCCTACCCCCTTCCCAATTTGAAGGTATATAATCACCACCCCTCACGACTCCACTGAAGCTCTTTCCGCCCATGGTCCTGTTCCCGTGCTCTAATAAAACCACTTTTTGCACTGGAGACGGCTCAAGAATTCTTTCCTGGCCATTGGCTTCGAACCCTAACATCTTCCCTACATCAAAATCAAGATTCAGGTCAAAGAACTCCTCCCTGAACCCCACCCCACCCCCCATCTGAATTAAACACCTCTCCCCTGTGCTCTGGCTCCTGCATACCCCACTGGTAACACTTTTTACATGGAGGAAAATGTGTGTCCTTCATCTGTTTATCTCCAGTTCCTGGCTCACCTGTGCTTGATTAAGGTGTTTTGTTTGGTTTTGTTTTAAAAGAAAGGAATCCACAGACCTGAGCTTAATGCTTCTCTGCTAGTAGCTAGTGGGGTGACACTGAGCAATCACTTACCCTCTCTCTCAATCTCTCCTCCTCTCAAGGAGGTTGGATCAGCTGATTCTTAAAATGTGCTTCCACTCTGAAATGACCAACTTCTGGAAGAGGCAGCAAGATAGTCTCAGAAAATAGGAGAATATGTTACAAGATAGGGTTCACTCTCCATTCTTCTTTTTCTCCTCTCTTTCTTTTAGAGGTCGTTTTCTTCAGAGGTCATTTATGTGGACCATTCTCTCCCCAACCCCAGCTGGAGCAAGGACATGAGACTCCTTTTTGACCAGTTCATGAAGAAAACTGAAGATGGCTCTTGGAAACGTTTGCCTTCACATAAATCTGTATCTCCTCAAAGGACTGAAGAGGTCAAAACCTTTTTTCCTGGTAGGAACAACCACTCTCTCATAAAGAATATTTAAATGTCAAATATAAAACAAAATATTGAGGCATTGGTTACTATGTGGAAATGTTGGGGCCTGGAGCCAATGGCCAGGAAAGAATTCTCGAGATGTCTTTGCAAAAAGGTGGTTTTATTAAAGCACGGGGACAGGACCCTTGGGCAGAGGTGGTTTTATTAAAGCACTGGGACAGGACCTTTGGGCCGAAAGAGCTGCACTGATTATACACTTTGGGGTTGGGGGAGAAGACCAAGGGAAGTTTCCAAAAGTCTTTCATATGCTACAGAAGACTCACTGGATCCTGGAAGCCTGGCTATTGTCAAGCTAAAGTTGTTTTTCCCTCTAGCAAAACATTAACATTAAGACCCTTGGGAGTTACCTGGAGGAATGTCCTGCTCTGTCTGCCTCAAGTATTTGTCACTTGGCTGCAGGATATGAGGAAATTATTTTTAACTACATTTCCTTCTGCCTTTATTCCCCACATCAGTTACCACTTGAAGAGGGAAGGATGTAAGTAATGCAGGGGTTTCTGTACTCTCTATTGTTTTTGTTTGTTTGTTTTTTAAGTAGGCTCCACGCCCAACACGTCTGCTGTTCCTCAAAATAATCTTGATGCCAAAGAGCCGTATTTTGGGTTGATGAATTTGCTGTCGTTCATTCCCGTCTTTGAAGCTTCCCCAAGAAGTTTCATGTCTTTGAATGAGTCTGTTAGTCCTGAGAATACATTAGTTAAACAGTTGTGTCTCATTTTAGGAGGTGGTATTTATTGCAGGGGGGCTCTACATGGCATGAGCAGTCACCTATTTAATAAGAGGCGTTTTTTTATGGAAACAAAAGAAAAAGGTTAATAGTTGGAACAAACCGTAAACTCTGTTTTTGAGTCCAGAGGACAGTCAAGATTTCTAGATGTTGGGCTCAGAGCATCTCAGATGGAGTGAGGGCCCTGCCAAAAAACCAAATTCATCCGAGCAAATTTGAAGATCTAATTGGCTTTATTGAATGATTCATGAATCGGGCAGCATCCCATCTGGCAAGTAGAAAGGGGCTCCCAAGAGTTGTACAAAATGGAAGGTTTTTATAAAAAGGAGGGTGGGGCAAGGAGTTAATGGCAAAAGAAAAGAAAGGATTCCAGGCAAGGTCACTATCACTTGGGGGAAAGGGCAGGGGGTCTTATCATGCAGATGACCTCATTTGCCTTTGGGGATAGAGAGGACCTAGGTAACAGATTACCTCATTGATGATGACCAGAAAATTCCAGCCTGACTCAGTTAAAACATTTCTGGGGGAGGCTGACACTGCAGTTAGGTTAGATATTAAACCCCAGTTTGGGGGCGCCTGGGTGGCTCAGATGGTTAAGCGGCTGCTTTCCAGTCAGGGCTCCCTGCTCAGTGGGGAGCCTGCTTCTCCCTCTGCCTGCTGCTCCCCCTGCTTGTGCTCTCTCGCTCTCTGTCAAATAAATATAAATAAACCCCAGTTTGGTGACTTGGCCTAAGCGACACTGATGTGGGAAACAAAAGCAAAAGGAGAAATTAAGGCCAAAATTGTGACTTGTTTTACAAACAAATTAGTCTTAATTTGGCTCTTTCTGGAAATGAGAGTGATTACAGAGAGAAAAATATGTGTCAATAACCCATCTTAGCAGATGTTAAATTCTAGTTCTCATTGTCTTTGAATGTTTGTTGTTTGCCTAAGCTAGACAACTTGAGGTAAACTTCAGAGAAATTGCACAATAGCTCATGTATAGACATTCTTTGTGCTTGTCAGAGGTTCCTGGTGTCAAAGCAACCCGAGGCGCCCCTTGAATGAAATTGCTATGATCACCGCCCTGCCATTAAAGTCCCGGTAGGAGGGATGCTCGCATCCCCCAGCTTGCCCATCGAATTCTAGACTGTAAAATGGGTGCCAGCATGTGGACCGAGATACCATACCTTGCCTTGCCCTGAAGAACCCCCCATTTTTAACCCATGGAAAACATTAGGAAAGTTTTTACAAGGGGAAATTGCCCCTATAGTTTGTTGTAAGTGGAGGACATTGACGGAAGACAGTAGAGATAGAAATCCGTCATGGTCTAAGCGACATTCCAACACATGTAGTCTTTACAGCCAACTTCTCTAGGAAATTGTCCCAGTTGGGCTTTAATTCAGTTGGGTACTGGTTTCAGCCGGTTCCAAGTGGAAATCTCGTGGCCAGAGATCACTAGACCAGAGACGTGGAGAACATCACATTAAACCAGTGAGGAGGAAACCTCACGTGGGAGTCTTAAGATTGGCAGCCGTCCTGGTGACTTAGGTGGCTGTCCCTTGCCCAAAAAAGACAACTTTGTATAAGGACAGGAATAAAGAGAGGACATCAAGAAACTAAGTTTCTGGGTCTTACTACCATTCCGGCCAGGGTACTAACTTCCAGCCAAAAGGCATGCTTTCTCCTCCCCGTAGAGTGGCCCCAAGCTAGAGGATTGCAGCCTGAGCAGTTGACCTGAAAGTGTCCCAATAAGACCATACTCCATGGGGGCGCCTGGGTGGCTTAGATCGTTAAGTGTCTGCCTTAGGCTCAGGTCATGATCTCCAGGTCGTGGGATCAAGCCCCGCATCCGGCTCCCTGCTTGGCGGGGAGCCTGCTTCTCCCTCTCCCTCTACTGTTCCCCCTGCTCATGCTCTCTCTCTCTCTCTCTGTCTCAAATGAATAAACAAAAAATTCTTGAAAAAATAAATATTATTTAAAAAAAAAAAAAAGGACCATACTCCATGAAAATCCTCTGAAATGAGAGTAAAGGAAGAGAAGAGAAAGTACTCACCAAGTTTACAGAGAAGCTCAGAGTGCAGATGAAAAGACTGAGCCACACATTCAGGCGCCGAGTGATGTGGCAGTGTTGGAGTTGGGAGCCAACAGCCCAAAAAGAATTAACATCTTTGGTGCAAAAAGACGGTTTTATTAAAGGACAGGGGCAGGCAGAAAGAGCTGCACTGGGGTCATGAGGAGTGGCCCATTATATACTTTCAAGTTGGGAGGGGGTTAGGGATAGCATAAGTCTCTAAGGAATTTTGGAAGCATCGTTTCCAGGACCTTGAGGGGGCTAGCTATTGTTGGGAAAAGGTCATTTATTATTGTCTAATAAAACCTGAGTCATGAGACCCTTCAGATGTAGATTAGTGGGCCATATGCTTAGAGGATGATTGCTAACATGTATTTTGGGGTGGGGAGTAGAGATAAAGGAAGTTTCCAAAGGAATTTTTATGTGTTAGAGTAGACTCACAGGATCCTGGGGGTCAGGCTAAGATTGCCTTTTGCCCTCGGCAAAGTATTAACATAAAGGCAGCTGAGTTCCTAGAGGAATATGTCACTCTGCCCGTTTCAAGGACTTGTAGGCAGTAGGAAATTTAATTTCTTCTTTTGCCTTTGTTTCCCACATCAGGAGCTACTTCACAAAGTAATGGTCTCTTCTCCTGGGTGAGGAAGAGTTATGCCCCTTTGCTTCTAGTAAAGCGTTTTATAGGGTTTTTTTAAATTAGCTGATAGAGAGGAGCTTACTCTTTAACTTTGGGTGTATCACTTATATTGGGCGGTTGGTTTTTCCGCTGTCCTACCTAGGGTTGTGGAATAACCTACAGGGAGCATGTTAGAAGGTGGAGGATAGACAGTAAAGTATCCCCAAGCTAAGAAGGCACTTTGAGACCAGAAAACAAAGCAGGCCACTCCATAGAGTTTACATAGAGTTTTATTCAAGGTAACTTATTGACAGAGGGATTCAGGTGGAGAACAGTCCACAGTAGCTGCATAGTTAATTCTCCACGAAATCCAGACCTCAGTCCACAGATTGTATAGAGTGAGGGGAACACACAGATCACTGTAGTGAGATCAGAAGGCTTGCACTCACCTCAGAGGGCTTGCATGCACCTTATTTGACAGCTGGCCTTTAATTAGATCTTGTGGCACCACCTGTGCATCAGGAAAAACTGTTATCTCTAACAGATTCATGGGAGGCTAAAATAAGCCTCCCCTCCCCATCCTGGCCAGCATTTCTAAGGTATGTATATCATCTCCAAGGGGCCCAGAACATGTAGCCCCAAGAGAGGTTACTGAGCAAATGTGAACAAGACGGAGGGCCAAAGATGGGGTCAGTATTGTCAGCACAACGCTCCTACAGAACAATTTTAAGAATGTCCAGCTGATGTGGCTTTTATAGCCAGAGGGAGTGGGGTCTTGTGATTCTTTTTATGACCTGCTGACTTAAGAGTCAACCTAAAAACCAAAATGGCTTTACGTTGGTCAACTTCCCTCCTGAGCCTCCATTCCCTCCTTCCTCAGTTATGTAAAGGTCAAGTTGATGATTAGCTTGGGGTCAATCACAGGTGGGGGTCTTGCTGGTCTAGGCAGTCCTTATTGCTTGAGGGGGGTAGTTTTGGTTCCCTAGGCAGGATACTTTGCCTGGAGGGCTTTTTGCCTGAGTTATGAGCTGCAAAGAAGAACTTAATCAATTAGAAAGCTCGAGATCAAAACAGAGGTAGTTGAAAGCCATACTCGAGCAGTCTCATTCATTTTCCTGGTTTGCAGTTTGACTATCTCTGGTGATGTCATCAGGTGTGAACCTTCTGAATAGCCCAACTGCAACAGGTAAGAACGTTGTCCACACATGAGCTCTTACGAAATTTCTGTCAAGTTATCCAGTTTCAGTTTGCAGGGCTTCAGGAAAAGCAGTTTTGTTCTTAGTGATTCCAAGTCAGAAGGGTGGGAGAAAATTGGAAATGTTTGGAGAGTCATAGTCAGATATTTGAGGAAACTAGAAGAATTTAGGATCCAGGTCAGTTTGCAGATAGATAGCAACTTCAAAGAAAGCAAACAGCACTGGGATCTGATGTCCACAAAGGTGCTATTGAAACGTACTTTTTCTCTCTACAGTCATCCATTTGTATCAGAGATAATCACGATAAGACTAATTTGTTTGCAGAATGAATCTAGTCTCATTAAACATAGCCTTATTATTTACAT